CATCAAATCCCAAAGACATTGTTGCAAATTATTACCAAATAGGAGAAAGAATCAACTGTAATCTACTGAAACAGTGTACGGAAACACAAAAACAGAATACTGGAATACTGTAGCTGTCAGAATAGTACTGTAGCTGTCGGAATAGTACTGTAGCTGCCGGAAAAAACTCNGAGGCGCGTGAGGAGGCTGCTCTGGGGTTTGGTCGGCGGATAGTGACTTGGATTTTGCACAACACTGACAGAAATGAAGCAGATAGAAAACAGACTTAAAAAAGTACTAATTTCTCTTTCCCGGAATCGCTGGAATTTATGCACAGCGATTTCTCTTTCCCGGAATCGCTGGAATTTATGCACAGCGATAAGTCTCTCACAATTGCTCTGATACCATGTGAGAAGGCACGGGAGAAAATATGTTATTGATATTAGATGAACAATACAATACAANAGCGATAAGTCTCTCACAATTGCTCTGATACCATGTGAGAAGGCACGGGAGAAAATATGTTATTGATATTGGATGAACAATACAATACAAGAGTTCCTTATTTATAGCTATACTATAAAAGGACATACTACTCTTCTACCAATGTGGGACAATACTACACTATATACATGCTGTAAACTAACAACCACCAAGGCTTGTCTAGTGGTATCAGTGGGAGTTTCCCACACATTAAGTGTAGGTTCGATTCTCACTGCCCCTTTTCCCCTTCCGAATCCTCCTAACTAATGTGAAAAACTTTTAGTTATTAAAAAAAAAAAAAAAAAAAAAAAAAAAAAAAAAAAAAAAAAAACTCAAACTTCTGAGTGTAAATATTCTTAAAGTCTTTTATGGTATCTACATTCCTGAGAAGCTTCATTGTAGTGTCCGGTTGGTTTCTCACCATTATGCTTTTAGCAAAATCAATATTCATGCTTTTTTTTTTTCTTTAAATAGTTGGCATGCATTTGTTGCTTTAAACTTTCCTAATTTTTATGCAATTTAAGTTGACTGCATGAAGGGACTGAATTGGTGTAAAATTTTGGAACGTTTGTGATAAAGAAATGCTCCATGTATAACTCAAACACTTCCCGATTGTGTGGTGGGAAAAGTTTTTCTTTAACCTAGATGTTGAATTACATATCAGTTTATACTTTATAGCCATTCATATTCTGTGTACAATCTTTTCAGTACTTTCCCCCCGGATTTGCTCGATTGGTGTCTCACTTGACTAATCAAGCAACTTATCTGGAGGACTCAAGTGGACAGAAATGGAAGGTGGGAATATGTATTCATAACGGTTCGCTTGCAATTAGAGAGGGATGGCATGCATTTTCATCAGAACATGGTCTGAAAATGGGGGACTTCTTGGTTTTCCACTATATTCAGGAACAGCACTTTGTTGTTCAAATATTTGGAACAAGTGGTTGTCAAAAGATCAGCTTTGACAATGGCACTAGCACAGGGAAGAAAAGGCAAAGAACTAATTGTAAAGCAACTTCCCAAGATGAGCTGCTACCGTCAAGAAAAAAGTGGAATTCAACACCCTCAGATACTGCTGTACCAGAGTCTGAAATGGCTGATCACGAGCCAGCGACCACAACTTTTGCATCAAACATAGATGCTGACACTGGAATCCTAGAAATAGTTCCCGAAGCAGAAGCAATCAGTGATATTCTACAAGGTGAAAACGGACCTGGTAATCATGTTAGCACCAATTCAATATCACAAAGGGAGTCAAGTTCAGTAGATGAGGTTCCTGTTGAGATGGAGTTCTTAACCTTTAAAGAACCTGTCCACTTCCTTGACATTGGAATCACTCAGACTGAAAAAATTTCTGAACCAGTGAACGATATTTTACTTTTGGGCCAAAAAGATGAAAATGTCCATAATATGGGTCTTATCTCTAGCATGTCTTCAGCTGAAAATGGTGGCAAGGGTAATTTTGCCCCTTTCATTTTTATCGTATCTTCTAATCAATATCTTTACCGTGTCCAGAAACAATGGAAGGGAAAGGAAAATTACTAAAGAGGGAAAATAGAAGGGAAGTGCGAGAGAATAATTAGTGGGGCTAAAAGAAAATGGTCTTTGTCCTCTCTTCTCTCTCCACTTCCCATGCTCTTTCTCTTGATAAACGAAAAAAAGAAAAAGAAATTCTGTACTTTTCCCTTAATTTCCTTCCTTTTCCCTTGTTTCTAAGCAAGTCCATGATTTACTTTGATTGGCTCCAATATATATTTTCAACCGCATGATGATATGATATATTAGGTAGTCATTTGGTCTTGCCATCTAATAAAGAAAGTCGCTGCAGCAATCAGGTTACCAGAGAGAAATCCAATGAAGCATCTCATATTGGTAAGCTTCCAGTCTTTAACATTAAGAATCATTTTATTCTGCTGTCTTAAAATGTATTCTTATTCTTCTGTGACTTTTGTGTGTGACACTAAATCTTTTCTTTATCGGTTTTATTAGATTTCTTCCTGTTAATTGTGGGGTTTTGCATCATGAATAGATAAGCAAGAACGGAAGGAGATGGCAGCAAAAACACATTTCTCTGCTAAAAAGCTAAATGGTATAACATTTTCATATTTACTTTATACTCTCATTTGATCTTGATATCCTTTTCTCATAACTGCACATCATTCCATGCATGTATTCTTATTTGATGTATGCTGCATGAGCCGTGAGAAGTATAGCACGGAAATTTTTTATTTAATTGTGTCTTAAGTGTTGTACAATGCCCTATTTATATACAGTGATTACATAATAATAGGTATCTACTTCTCGATGTGGGACACTATACATTACTAACTATTTAACATTCCCCCTCAAGCCGGTGCATATAAATCATATGTACCGAGCTTGTTACAGATGTAACTAATACGAGAACCAGTAAGAGACTTGGTGAAAATATCTGCAAGTTGATCATTCAACTTCACAAACTTTGTAACAATATCTCCTGAGCTGACAAAGTGACAATCGATCTTAATGTGTTTAGTCCTCTCATGGAACATCGGATTTGACGCAATATGAAGAGCAACTTGATTATCACACACCAGTTCCATTTGGCTGATTTCTCCGAACTTCAACTCCTTGAGAAACTGCTTGATCCAATCTAGCTCACACGCTGCCACAGCCATGGCACGATATTCTGCTTCTGCGCTAGATCGAGCAACTACATTCCGTTTCTTGCTTTTCCAAGAGACCAAATTACCTTCTACTAGAACACAATATCCTGATGTAGAACGTCTATCAGAAGATGATCTTGTCCAATCAGCATCTGATACCCAACAATCTGCTCATGGCCTCAATCCTCGAATAGTAATCCTTTGCCTGGAGCTGACTTTATATACCGAAAGATGCGAACAACTACATCCCAGTGACTATCACAGAGAGAATCCATAAACTGGCTTACAACACTCACAGGAAAAGAAATGTCAGATCTAGTCACTGTGAGGTAATTCAATTTGCCAACCTACCTCCTATATCTCGTAGGATCGCTAAGAGGTTCCCCCTGTCCCGACAGAAGCTTAGCATTCAGATCCGTAGGAGTGTCAACAGGTCTGCAACCCATCATTCCAATCTCTTTTAAGAATGTCTAAGGCATACTTCCGCTGTGAAATAACAATACCTAAGCTAGACTTAGCGACCTCAATACCTAGAAAATACTTCCATCTGCCCAGATCCTTAGTCTTGAAGTGCTGAAAGAGATGCTGCTTCAGATTAGTAATACCATCCTGATCATTGCCAGTAATAACAATATCATCAACATAAACCACCAGATAAATACACAGATTAGGAGCAGAAAGTCGATAAACACAGAGTGATCAGCTTCATTAGGAGTCATGCCGAACTCCTGAATAACTGTGCTGAACTTACCAAACCAAGCTCGAGGGGACTGTTTCAAACTATATAGTGACCTGCGCAATCGGCATACAAGACCGCTAGACTCCCCCTGAGCAACAAAACTTGGTGGTTGCTTCATATAAACTTTTTCCTCAAGATCACCATAGAGAAAAACATTCTTAATGTCTAAGTGATAAAGATGCCAATGACCTGCAAAAGGCATTCAATTAATCAAGTAACAAACTGTAAGAACTGCATCGCCCCAAAAACATAGCGGAACATGTGACTGAATGAGAAGTGTGCGAGCGGTTTCAATGAGATGCCTATTCTTTCTCTCTGCTACCCCATTCTGCTGAGGGGTATACAGACAAGGTGTTTGATGGATAATTCCTTGAGAGGTCATAAACTGTTGAAACTGAGAGGATAAGACATTATCACTACGAAAAGTGCGAACAGAAACATTATCACGACGAAAAGTGCTAATGGAAACTGGGAGGATAAGTATTCTAAAGCATTATCACTACGAAAAATGCGAATAGAAACACCAAATTGATTTTTAATTTCAGCACAAAAATTCTGGAGGATAGAAAATAACTCAGAACGATCTTTCATTAGGAAAATCCAAGTACATTTTGAGTAATCATCAATGAAACTAACAAAATAACAAAATTCTAAGGTTGAACTAACTCAACTAGGACTCCATATATCAGAATGAACTAAAGAAAGAATAGACTCTGAACGGCTCTCAGCACTACGCGTAAAGGTGACTCGGGTATGTTTCCCAAGTTGGCACGACTCACAATCTAATGTAGATAAATTAGATCATCTTCTGAAGCTTGGTTAAACTTGGTTCTGGAGAATCTGTAACTGGACATGCTGTGGAGTGATTGAGTGAGTTAAGGTACTGAAGGCCTTGTGATTTAAGCCCTGTGCCAATCGTTTGCCTCGTAATGCGGTCCTGCATAATGAGAGATTAATCAATAAAATATATACCACAATGGAGGGCACGAGTCAAATGACTAACATATGCAAGACTAAAAGGACAACAAAAGACATAAAGAACGGAATCTAGAGTGACAGAAGATGAGGGATTAGCTTGTCCAACTCCTTTTGCTTTAGTTTGGAACCCATTGGCTAAAGTAACAGTAGGAAGAGACTGTGAATACACAATATTCGACAAAATTGATTTATTACCAAAAATATGATCAGAAGCTCCCGAGTCCATGACCCACGGTCCAAGAGTAATAGACTGAGAAACACAAGCAAAAGAATTACTAGTAACATGAGTATCAATCTGAGCAACCGAGGCTACTTGTGGAGATGACTGCTTACTTGCTCGATACTGAAGGAACTAATTATAGTCCCTTTCAGATAAAGAAAATTCCTGGTTACCTGTAGTCTCGGTCTGAGCAACATGAGCGTTTCTGGGTGGTCGACCATGTAAAGAATAGCACATTTTACGAATGTGTCCAAGTTTATTACAATAAGAGCACTTGGGTCGAAATCTCCCAAAATAACTTCCTCCTCGTCGATTCTCTATAGCCTGAGATGCCCGATTTTCCATTTTCCGAGATGCGAGAATAGAGGAGTCAATAGTTGGCGGTGAGACCACTGTGTGACTCGGTGGTGCAGCAAGACGAAGCAATCGAGAGAATATTTCATCAACTGTAGGAACCGAAGGACTAGCCAAAATTTGGTCTCTCACTGAGTCAAGGTCATTAGGCAGTCCAACAAGTGTAAGAACTAGAAACATCTTCTGTCGTTGCTCTTGTTGTTTTTCAAACTCTAGCAGTGACTGGCATCAACTTCTCAAATTCCTCCATTAACTGCCTGCACTTGTCCCAAGTAGGTAGACATATCCAATTCCCGTTTCTTTAAGTTTATCATCCGAGATATCACATCGTAAAAACGAGATATGTCATTAGTGTATAAAGTACGAGCTTTCTCCCAAACTGAATAACATGTTTGGAATGGACGAAACAAAGGCATTAACTTGGAATCAATTGATCAACAAACTAAATAATTGAGCACCAATTTTCTCCCAGAGTGCTTTGGCCTTTTCATCTCCATCACTAGTCTTCTTGGCTAGGTGATCTTGAAACCTTGACCTTTGCACCACAACTCAACAGAAGAAGCCCAGGCTAAGTAGTTTGAACTTCCCATTAAGGGTTTCAAAGTAATCATCAAACAAGAATTTCCAGAACTGTTGTTTTTAGAACCAAAAATATCAAGTCCCCAAAACAGTGTTGGACCAAATAGCACAGACAATCAAGAACAATAAGAAGCTCAGAAGAACAATGAAGAAAAAACATTGTATCTCGGCGGAAACTGAACAGTCACCAGAAATCTCGCCGAAAAATAAAAACGTTGTCGGAATTTGATGTAACTTGGACTGATAGGCTCGGAATAGCCTCGCGAGCAAGCTGTCCAACATGACTTTTGTCAGAAATTGGCCCGAGGGTAGCTCATGCGCCGGCGCGTGAAGGGATCTCGCCGGAATTTTCCTCCTTCTGGTCGTCGCGTGTGGGAATATTTTCCAGCGGGGTTTGCTGTGGTTTGGTCGCCGGAAGGTGTAGGACCTTGTGGTAGTGTTGGTTTTATCACAACACTGAGGGGAACGTAGGTGACGCAATAACAGCCCTAGAAGTTGCCGGAAATTGACACACGGCGACTGTTTGGCGGAGTTCTCTTCCCCGGATGTTTCTCACCGACGCTCTGAAACCATGTGAGAAGTATAGCACGGAAAACTTTTATTTAATTATGTCTAAAGTGTTGTACAATGCCCTATTTATATACAGTGATTACATAATAATAAGTATCTACTTCCCGATGTGGGACACTGTACATTACTAACTATTTAACATGAGCAAATGCAGGAAAAGAGCCAAACATAACAGAGAAAGATGGTCAAAGTTTTCCAAAGGCTGTAAGTGGTAATAACAAAGTTACCAAAAGTGAGCCTGCTGATTCAGGAGACGCATCATTTCCTGATGCTGGCAGCTTCTCATGTTTGCTACGGGCGGATGGTCGAAATTTTCTGGTGAAAATCTTGCTGAAATATCATTCCTTCTGCTATTATTTTGAGGAATTTCATTTGTTTGTTTTATTCCCTGCAGCATATGCACTGCCTGATTAATGACTATATCTAGAGTGTTTGTTGGAGTGACGTGCATTTTAGTACTGTTTTCACCAATCTTTGGCATTGAATTATTAAAGATATTGTATAGGGGAATTCACACATCTTTGCCAGCATATTTTTCGGCCTAAATACTCTATAATCTTTTCATTAATTCATGAAGATTGAGGATAAGTGCTGATTACTTTGTCAGTAAACTGTTGAAAAGGAATAAAAGAAATGAAAAGCTAATTTCAGTGCAAGCTCCTTTTTATTAAATGAGGATCATGAAATCACCACTGAGCTTAAAGTAAATTATTATATTTTTGATTGTTAGTACTGCTGATAGTAAACTTTGCCTTTGCTTTTTTCCAAAAATTAATGAGAATCCTTTGTGTTTGAAATGGTCATTTTCTTTTAAGGACCAGTGTCAACCTGATTGGCAATGGACATTCTTTTGTTCTTTTTCTTGGTCATAGCAAATGGCTGATTTCAACTTCTTATGCTACGAAGAGCAGATATTCTGTCTTAAGATTTCTCAAGGAAAAAGAGTTGTAGGGTTCTGTGGAACTAGATTTCAAAGAGGAAAATGTCATATCTCATTCTCTATGAAACAGCGCCTACATTCCATTGTTTATTTGAATATTTGGCACTTTTAATCACCTGACCACACTGATCATTCTTTTTTCTTTTCATCTTTTTGTCCTGATTAAAGCTTTCTCCTTAGAGAATGTGGTCCGCTCCAGATTGTGCTTAACTGCCTGTATTTGGCTGAAATTTTCTTTTAATTCCCTGAGTGTATATACTTTTCCTCTCTTTATATTTGAATTTAGACCTTAACATACTGTGTAGGAATTACCACAAAGCTGGCCACAAGTTTTGACGGGCAGGAAAAAGCTGGAACACATTACTATTTTTCTCCAAGGACCAGATGATAGACCCTGGCCTGTCACCTATCATGAGAGAGCAGGTTCTAAGGTTTTGGCGAGTCGCTGGGCAGAATTTACTGCAGTTTATGGCATTAAGCCGGGGGATGAATGTCGATTCCAACTTTTAAATCTGTCAGAACGCAGATTTACGGTACACATAGCCCACAAGTTAGATGTTACTCAAGCTACTTTGAGTTGATTATTATGAGCAGTTGTGAGAACAATGTAATTGGAGTTATGGCGAGAGTTTACTTAATGGTTTTTATACATTCATTTGATTTAAGCAAATCTATAGTGGATTCTGGATTTATATGTTGCGCTGATACTTTAGTTCAGCAATAAGAGCCATGAGATCATATAGATGCTGTTGATAAATTTTCATTAACCAAGGCAATCATGTATCTGATGCATCATTCTTTGAAAGGAACTCTTCAAGTTTTGATACTTTCTGCCATCAACTTTTCTTCTCGGCCATCCCTTCATTATAAGTGTCAGTGTTGACTCACATGTGCTACTCTCGCCGGATAAATGGAGATAGATCAGGAGAGCTTTTATGAAGAAAATAAATTAACAATTAACATGAATATGCATATTTTTTTCACCTTTATAAATGATTTGATCACAATGAAAGTGCATGCATGAAAATGGGGTAGAAATGGCGTGGTATAGCCACTTTTTTAAGTGGTATTTACTTTTTAGCCAGTGTTTTTAATGTTGAGCAAAAATAATCACTGCTCTATTAAAATTGATACGAAAAGTCTTTTTTACCCTTTCTTCATGAGTGATGTGTAAATATTAAGGACATAGTGTCCTTAACTTCATGAGTGATGTGTAAAATATTAAAGACACTATGTCCTTAACATTTACATTGCACACATGAAGTTAATGACACCATGTCCTTAACATTTACATTGCACACATGAAGTTAATGACACCATGTCCTTAACATTTACAATGCACATATGAAGTTAAGGACATGATGTCCTAAAGTTTAACAACAGAAGTTGCAAATACAAGTTAATGATATTATGTCCTTAACATTTACATTGCACACATGAAGTTAATGACACAATGTCCTTAACATTTACACTGCACATATGAAGTTAAGGACACCATGTCCTTAATATTTATATTGCACATATGAAGTTAAGGACATGATGTCCTAAAGTTTAACAACAGAAGTTGCAAATACAAGTTAATGATATTATGTCCTTAACATTTACATTGCACACATGAAGTTAAGGACACCATGTCCTTAACATTTACACTGCACATATGAAGTTAAGGACATGATGTCCTAAAGTTTAACAACAGAAGTTGCAAATACAAGTTAATGATATTATGTCCTTAACATTTACATTGCACACATGAAGTTAAGGACACCATGTCCTTAACATTTACACTGCACATATGAAGTTAAGGACATGATGTCCTAAAGTTTATCAGCAGAAGGTGCAAATATAGGACACTTTGTCCTTAATATTTACACATCTCTCATGAAGATAAGGACACTATGTCCGTAACATTTACAATGAACACATGAAGTTAAGAATACCACGCCCTTAACATTTACACTGCACATATGAAGTTAAGGACATGATGTCCTAAAGTTTAACAACAGGAGGTACAAATACAAGTTAAGGACATTATGTCTTTAATATTTACATTACATACATCAAGTTAAGGACACCACGTCCTTAACATTTACACTATACATATGAAGTTAAGGACATGGTGTCCTAAAGTTTAACAACAGAAGTTGCAAATACAAGTTAATGATATTATGTCCTTAACATTTACATTGCACACATGAAGTTAAGGACATCATGTCCTTAACATTTACACTGCACATATGAAGTCAAGGACATGATGTCCTAAAGTTTAGTAGCAGAATGTGCAAATACAGGACACTTTGTCCTAAATATTTACACAACATTCATGAAGTTAAGGACACCATGTCCTTAATATTTACACAACACCTATGTCTAGCACAAGGGTATTTTTGTCCGGCGAGTAAAAATTTATTAAGCACTGGCTAAAGAGTAAATACATTTAAAACAGTGGCTAAAAATAAAGAAATCTCTAATCAGTGGGGGATTTAGTTTTGGGCCGGTCGTATAGTATTCATTTCAGGGCGTGTTTGGTAAGAAGGAAGTTAATTTTTCGTGAGGAAGTCATTTTTGAGTATATGATATGACGGATCATCATCGATTCATTGTCTCCCTCCCCCATTATTACGTTTCACGGCATTGACTGACATTACCATCTCTAACCACCCACGTGTGTCTTTTTTTCAAAATAATTTTTTTTATGTGACATTGTTACTATCTAAAAACCAGATTAAAATTCAGAAAAAAAACAACAAAAAATTAAGCATTATTTTATAGAAAAGTAAAGGAATCGGTATCTGAATTTATATGTTTTGGTCGACTTCGAGTCTGTCTAGTCAAAGGAAGTTGAAAATAACACGATAACACTAACACTTGACGTTGGTGCCATTTGAAAATGATCACCGCAAAGAGTTAATTCCATCTACTAATTATGTCGATCATATTCAACTGCGAGAAACATTAAACAAGAAGCAGATTGATTAAAAAATTACTAATGCTTTAACAACTTGATATTGTTGAAAAGCATGATTTATTTTTAAATTATCAAATTTTGAACGAACTTTGAGACGTTTTACCAAACAATTAGATCAAGGAGAAGGTGCAGGCACGTCCTCTTCAATGTGATGTAAATCCTGCACGTCCTCTTCAATGTGATGTAAATCCTTCTTCTTAATCTCCTGGTTTTGTATGATCAGCTGTGTTAGTCGTTAAGAATGTTTGGTCTTGTGGAAATAATGATGTAATTCACAAATCACAATTTATGTTACGACCTCTTCAGCTCTTCTTACCCTCCCTGCTGTGAGTGTGGAATTGTGGGCAGGGCTGCAGGATGAGAAGAATACAGGCATATCATTGAGTCATCTTTGGACAGAAGTAGGTTTATTATTTTGAGTATCACGCGTTAAAAATATAATTAAATAATTAAAATTATATTTTTTTCTTCAATTGTTTAAACTTATAAATAAAATTGTCACACACTTTAGTATTATATTAAGTAGACATAGGTGTTCGGTTCAAGTCTCACTCCTCATCCGAATTTTCACGTGTTTGGCGCAAGGAAAAAGTCAGACTCGTACGTGAAGGACATGTTCAAGACATAATTAAGTAATTAAACGTGTACTCTGTTTATCCGTAAAACGGTACAGTTAAATTTGTTACGTGCTTTATAGACAAGTGAACCAATTTGATCCTAAAAATGATAAGGAAATAAAACTGAAATTAAGATTTAACGACTGAAATTAAAGAAGATGACAAGCCTGGTTCCGAACTCCCCCTTTTCGAGAGCATAAGTGAAAATAATGATAATGCAATGATAAAGCTATTAAATTGAGAGTAAAATAGTAAATTATAGCTTTTGTGAGCAAAATATTTCATGTCCCTACAATGACTTTTAACCCCGCTATTTATAACTCTACCTAGGGAAACGAGATCCTAAGATCAAACTTCTATTAAATGAGAATAAAAGTGTCATTGATGAATATATAATGGCAGGCCCTGATGCAAATATTCTCTGTAACGACTGTTTATTTAACGTTAACAAATATTTTCTCATTGAATGTTGTCCAATGACAAACCTTTGAACTTCTACTGCTGAATACATCCCCTTCAAAATCCATTCGGTACCAGCCACACACGTCGCGTTCAGTATTAGTTGTTTCTCGACTCATCATTTGCCTATCTTCGGTTTCACATATCATTTTACCATTTGACCATCTATTATCAACCAGTTTTGCCCCATACAAATAATCCCCATACTTTTCAGTGACGCATCTTAGTATTACCGGGAAGTAGGTGAAAATTTCTTTCTTGGCAGGAAAGTTTATGAACAATCTCTGACACTTGACAGGACGCACGTCTTCTCGCATTTAAAACACGTGTTGCCCTATGATTCATCAAATATTTTCGCTGGTTTTCAAGGTAATCATGACCACGACTTTTGCCGTATATAACTTCTCTACTACTAATCATTTTTACATCTTCACTTCCACAACTTTCACAAGTCTTTCTCTTTTCCTGCATTTTCTTCGAATTCCTTCACAACCTTCAACTTCCTCATCAAGAACTTTTCTTTTACAAACCTTTTACTATCATGTCTTCATACACTGCTTCCTTCAGGAATACTGGTCTTTTCTTCGGTGGAGGCTCGAAGAAAAACCAAAACAAGGAGGTTGACGTTGAGTCTGATCCTCCAACTGTTAACACCATCATACAACTTCAACTCAACACTGCAAACGATCTTCAAGAAAAAACTCCTCCTGCAAACTCTCAAGGCTACCGATTTTGGCTAGTTCGTAGATATCCCTCCTTCATTCATCTTTCTAGTATCCTAACTATGAAGGAGGACTGCAACTGCCCCAATATTGAATTCCTCGCCCAGATATGATAGAGCGAGTTACCTACTCCAAGGAGGGATTCACGTATGTCTATATGTATCCCTTTACCTTGGGTCCATTCTCTTTGGGGTCGAGTGAAGGGCCCAACCCAATAATTTTGGAGTTTTGCCATCGATATCAGGTCTGCTTAGCACAAATAGGCCCATCTATATGGCAGACGGTGGCCTGCCTTCATCAATTGTTCACTGAGACTGGAGAAACCCTAACTCTTGCACATATAATAAACCTCTACTCTCCCAAAAATTTTCGTGGGGGAGTATTAAACTTTAGCAAGCGTGGTCACCATACTCTCCTCACCAACATAGATGATGACAATGATCGTGGATGGATGGAACGGTTCGTCGTTGTTGCTACTAGGGACATCATCCCAACCACAACTCCGATTTTTCCTGAGTCGTAGAATCTTTTTCGTAAGTTTTCAGTTATTTCCTTCCTTTCTTAGTGAAAAGATAATTTCCTATTTTTTTGATTTTCTATTTCCTTTGTTTTAGCTACCTGCTGGGAACTACCACGGGTTCAAGGTCAGGACCAATGTGTTCAGAAAATTATGGACATTACAACTCTAGAATCCCGGCGGTGGAAGGGATTGGCTCCCAAATACGGGTGGAAGGTCAAGCACCATGGTAAGCCAAGTCCTTCTTTCTTTTATCCTTGTTCAAGCATAAGAAATCTCATGAATGAATTGCTAACTCCATTTTTGCCTAATACAAGGCTTCCGAGGGGTTCTGTTACCTGCCCCGAAGTTGACGCCTTAGATGACGCCGAGGAGGTCAAGAGGGTGTTGCAAACTACCCTTGCCAGAAGCAAAGCTCGTGGATCTGCCCGAGCCTTCGGTAAGGGAGCCTCCTCTCGGAGTCCCCAGTCCAAGAACAAGAAACTGAAGATAAGACGCTCCTCCTCGGCTGGGACTCAAGAGTAAAGATCAAAGAAAATGTCATCC